GGATATATTTCAACACAAATGCTGTCAGAATGTATCGTTCTGTTTGGGAAGCAGATGGAAACATGTAGCATGAAGCTATGTGCCAGTGAGCCAGTTAACAGACTCCATCTGTTAACTGGCTGTTTCATCATTCAAGTTCAATATATGCTTTTCCATATCCCATCACAAAAATAAAAATAAAAAACACTACAGGCACACGTAGTGCCTCAAATTCCACTTTTTAAAGGACCCATGAAAACACTGAACCAGGAGAAAAAAAAATACAAATGAGCTTAAAAATCAAATTGGAATCTGGTTGATACCCATGACACCCCAAATAAATCTCAAAGACTTTTTACTAAAAACACTCACTCTTCCTGAGCTCGATGAGTCTTTCAAACTGGGAAATGATTGAACCAAATCCGATGCCAGGGCCATTTTGGTCTCTGATGAAGGACTATAGCACAAAAAACATTACACAGAAATACTGAAAACTAGTTTAAATGTATAGTTTCTATACAAACACTATGACAAATACTTATGATTACCAATTTGTACAGATTAATGTATTACCTGAATCTTGTGTTCAAAGTTTTGATTGGGTAATGATCCATAAAGTAGTTCATGTGAGTTGGCTTGAACAAATAAAAAAAATGCTAACTGCAATTATATTGTTGTCTCATTTCTTCTATAAAAACAGGCAAGTCCATTTAACTATTTTATATATTTGCTGGGCATCTTTTATTATTGTGCACTTGCAAAAGCTTGCATCAGCAGATTATGCTTTGTTCACCCGCAGGTAAGGAAATTGTGCCTAATGACATTTTAGAAAAAGTAAATCAACATGCAATGATTTGTGGAGTAAACGTAAACCAACCATGATCAAAACAATGAACACAGGACTTGGGTTTTTAATTAACATCTCAAAATGGACTATGCTGAGGGTAAGCATTTCATTCATTTTAAGTCATAACATTTAAAACTTCTCCTTTATAACATTGCTGAAACATGTATGTATCCCATGTAAATAGCTGTTTTGTGTGCAGTTTTAAAGTTGTCCAGTTGAAAGATTAGTTCTTACTAGCAAATATAGGTCAATGTCAAACCTCACAGTAGTGCTATGAAAATGAAGTACATTTTAATTTTAATTAAGAAAGTTAGCATATTTAACAGAAACCCCATGCCACATAAAAAACAAACAAAAAAAAAGTAAATATATATATATAAATTATTGAAGCACTTCTCTCCAAACTTCTCCAGAAGGTGTGACACCAGAATTCGGACGAGGAGACATCTCTGGCGAGTTGTGATAACATTAGCATCAAGGCTCTCAACAATTTGCTTGCCATCCGGTAAGCTTGCAAGAACCTGCCGCACATCCTGAGAGAATTGACAGAAAATAAAATATTGCAGATTTATTTATGTAGGGAAAGATGATCTGAGTTGAATCATTCTGTTGTGAGATTGTATTGCACAATATAACCTGGCTTAATTGGTTAAGAATGTTGAATTAGATAGTCTACAAGAATTGAAATACGATGCATTGGGAACTTGTAGACTGGTTGATTTCAGTGAAGATATTAAATCCTATCAAAGAAGCATAGAGCATAAAAGGGTAGTAAAATACTGTACATTCAGTCAATCATAAGAAAATGACTATTTCTTAACTAGGTAAATTCAGTTTTGTAAAGTTGGGCTTTCATTAATTACACAGCCTACTGTTGATAAAAAAAATTGAGACCCAAGCCTTAAAAGTAGAACTTACAAACTGTGGAATGATGTGTATAGTCTGTATCAGCTGATTCACTGGTCCCATAACTGTGGATGCTTGTTCCTCCATGAGGGCTGGAGGTGTGGCAGTTGATATGACATCAGAGCTTGTAGGTGGGGTAACAGGCACAACAACAGGTGGTTCAACCTACATTGAAAATCCAGGTTAGTATAATAAACAGTTGATGCTGCTTGGAATAGTTGGCTGAGCATCAAAATGTAAACTCCTGGATGGTTAGTGAACAAGGTGATAGGAAGTGCTCCAGACTAGACTAGTGGATTGCATACAGTATAGATGGTGGGACAGATGCCGACTGCATTTTTCACATCTTAAGGATTTAAGCTGTAGCTAATGCAGGGTAGTATTTGAGGTTAACTAACTGTCAAGTTGAGCTGCCCCTGTTGATACTGTGGTTACGGAGCTAGCTTCAGGACCTGGGTTCCAGAACAGTAGGGTGCACAAATTGTCATGACATCATTTGTTACAATACATTTGGACAGTGGTGCAGCACACTTTGAGAGGGTGCACACAGTTTCAGACACAAACCCATTCAGAAATTCTTTGTCTATTTCTTGATGTAAAGGGTGCCAATTTAACTTTCTGGGACCATGTGGTTGTCTTTACTGTAGCGGTGACAAACAATGTAAATGGAGCATATAGATAGCAAGTGATTATGCCAAAGATACTTACAGTACAACTTATCCCATCCCAGTAGTCACTTAAAAACGTAAGTTGTCCCATGACATTCCATTCCAGAGGTCCAGTAGTTCTTCCCATCCCAGTAGGCAAATACTGATCATCTTTAATAAGCAATGGACATATTTTGCAGCATGTAATGCTAATAACTAAATAGTATGGGGAACAATTTCAAACTAGTCCTTTTCATTTAATATAAAACATTTAAGTCTGTCAAAATACTATTTGTAAATGTCATACATGCACACACACACACACATCTGATAACAGTCAGCTAATTATCTAAAAAAGTCTATAGCGCAGGGAAATGTATAAATTGTCATCATCCTCTCTGTATGACTTGGCTGCATGAAGGGGATGGTGATCAAGCAGTTCACTCACATCTACAGCTGCCAAAACCTGAGTGGGAATCACACTGTATGCGAATAAATGCCTGTCAAACCACTGCGTTTCCCATTTCTTGACAAGAAGTTTTGTTGTTGGCGTGTGTGACATTAGATCCAGTAGTAAAACTGATTGTATTAGACCAAACTGAGGCTCACCATAATGATCATAGGACAGGAATACAGTCATGCCTGCCCTATATTCCGTTCCCTTAAATGTAATCCAGGCTGGCATATACAATTCACTAAAAAGCGGAATACCTTCTAGACCACTTTTGATTTCTTGAAACCCCTCAAGGTTGGCCAAAAATGTGCTGTACCCTGGACCAACTTCTGTATTGTGGCACAACACAGTTCCACACAGGAAATTGTAGCACTGCATCATCTGATGGCGGAATGCCATTGTTTTACAAATGTTCCTGAAATTGCAAGTTACATGGCTAACCTGTTTGAAAAATGAATGTCTAGCTTCAAATCTCATTGCCCAGAACTGCCTCAAGGGTCCGAGTTTTTGAATGACTCTTGGGTAATGTAGCATGAAGTGGTGCTTTGGCCGTAAATGTAGGTGAGGATAGAGCTCCAGAAAGAGGGAATGATGGTCTTCAATGATTTTGCTTAAGTACAGTGTTGCTGATACAGTAAGTGAAGGGGAAAAGATGAACTCCATGCACAAGAGTAGGAGAAGTAGAAGTTCCCAATGCTTGTTGTCCTTAGGGACAAGATCACCTATCATTGTCGGCAGTAACCTCAGTAGGCACCACATTTGAGATGCTGACTGCCGCATGGAGCCTTCTGGGTTTCTGAGATCAGACTTGCTTATGATAGAAGGTTTGTTACTCTTGTCACAAAACCCATAGTCAAAACTTGTTATTCTGTAATTGAGCTTTTCTAGTGTGAGATGCTTTTGCTCGATTAATGAACTCAACACAAGTTTGACTTCATAGGGCCCCACCCCTTCCAGTACATCATGCATGATGTCAACTGCCACATTGTCTGATACATGATAAAAAGATAAGTTGTTCAAGACACTATCTCTTTTTAGGCCTGTCTGGGAGGAGTCTGCTGTAAGCAAATCTGCCTTATAACTACTGTAATCACGCAATAGTGCAGCATCTTCCAGTGTCAAAGACCACACCACTCCTTTATCTGCTTTGCAGAACCGACAAACATAATTTGCACTAAAGCTTTCAATGTAGCCAAGTACACTGTGCACACCCAAATTATCTCCAACTACCTGGAGCAACGTGAACTTGACAACACCTTGATAGTAGGGAGTACTAATAAGGATGCCATCGCTCTCAAGACACTTGATCTCTTCCACAATAGGACGCAGGATTGCATCGACGCCATAGCTCGCTACATCATCGGATTTGTACACTGCTAAAAGGAAATGTGACTGTAAACTTGATAGCAGATCTGGTGGCAAGCTCTTCAAAGTGAAATAAATAAGTCCTAACTTGTGAATCCCAGTCTTTGAACCAAGTGGATTTACTATCTCACAGTCATCTTGGTAAATCAAAAGTGGTATTGAAACTTCGTTCTGGAACAATGGATGTGTTTTGACATACTCCCCATCAAAAACATCCTGAATTGCATCACCTTCTCTGTGCTGCCATTCCAGCATGGCCTGCAAAATCCCAGGAATTTCAAGGATCTTGGTCAAAAGGCTCGTTAATGGAATACGGTAGTAGGAATCAGGAATTCCAACTTGCTGGACAATGCCAGTGGCAGAGGCCATTGGCTGAACATAGGAAACCCCAGAAAAAATCTCCTCAACTGGCTGAATGAAGTTTCCAGATTTAGCAAAATATAACATCTGTTTATAATCTGTCTCCAGTCCTTTGAATGGTTCAGCTGCTTCTGAGAACTCCACCCCAAGCTCTTCTACTTCTTGGTTTTGATCTAGACCAAACTGATGAAATAAAGAAATAGTCTTTGACTTCAGTCTGCTGACAATATCACTGATTAAATTTGAGGCATGATGTACCACAGAGTTTAAGTTTGAATATGTCAGAAGATTTGGATCTAAGATGGGCTAAAAAGAGTGCCACCTGATTGGTAATGCCTTCTGGCTCTAGTTCATCCCAATTCTCTTCAACTTCCTCATTTTGCTGTGCTGGCTCCATTTCAGCATGCAAAATTTCTACTTTTTGTGCAGATGGGGCTGGACCTTCAAAAGGGTCAACAAGAGCATTTCCATCTTCATGCTCTTTTTCCAAGTGTCTTTTAAAAGACCACATGTAAGAAAATGTCCTACCACAACCATTTTCACTACACTGGAAATGTGTTGATGCTGAGTTTAGATGGTGTACTACACGTAAATGCATAAAAAGACTCTTGATACCCCCTGAAATAAGTTTTTTGCACTTAAAGCAAGTATATGCCATATTCCCATACTATTACATAGAAATAATAGAATAGAACTGAGTCTCTCACATGTCCACTGACTAATTACGTACAAGACCTCTAAAGTTTTTGAGAAACTTCAGCCTAGGTCCAGCTCTTGGGATCAACTGGTTGATGGTAGCCTCATCTAAAAGAAGAAAACTCTCCTCATCAATCCCCTCCTCTGAAAAACAAAAATAGAAAACACAAAAACAGACAGACACTATCATTTAGTACAACAAAATACAATGACGCACTTACAACTATGGCTCCTTTATTCAAGAAAAAAAAACACAAATATTCAACTAAGAATCGTATTTGCAATTATTTAAATGATTATTCATTAACTGAAAATGTCTAGGCTATTTTTATTCAAGTCTATAATCCAGGTGCCATGCACTGTTGCTATACAGCTGGGTATTAAATAAAAAAACCTCTCTAAAACGTTTTTTATACTGCTTTACCCTTACTGCTTTGTTGCCAATTAATCTAATTAGCTGCAAAATGCTCCTCTACCAGAATTATATTTTTAATAAAAATGGTAACATTTCTTGGTTTAACCCTCTTAATAAAATTATATAACTTAATATAAAATTTGTTTTAATCAAGAAATGTGATTTTTAAGCAGCTATTTAGCACACTTTAGAGCAGGCGGAAGAAGGATTGATGGCATTGAACAAGGTTAGGAGTGCCACATGCTTAATTAGCACCTTAGTAAATTCACAAAAACTTCACAGGCCTCTCTCCACTGCAGGCTCTCTAAAGTGACAAATTTGAAGTTTTCTTAGCATTTTTCTCTCTAAAGATATTGTTTGAGATTTATGTGARGTTGTCAGAAGGCTAGGTGCAGAGATAAATGAAAAAATAATGCAGTCAACTCCCAAATAATCACTATGAGTAGCAATGCAAATTTGACATGCTGTGGATGTCAAAAATATATTTTAACATAAAAAATATATATTTCTTACCTTTAAATCTTTCTACAAGGTCTGTCAGCTGCCACTCTGTCAATGTGTTGATGACAAAGCTGTCCATTTATCTGAAACAAATACAAAACAAGCTAAGCAAAAAATGCATAGTGATTTAGTTATCTGAAACAGGCTGGGGATGGATCAACACATGTATTTGGGGCTGCAGCTAACGATTCTGATGATTAATTGAGTAATCAGATAGAAAAAAAACTGTCATGTTCTGCAGTAATCATTTAAGCTTGTTTTATGATAAATACAATTATTTACTAATGTGAAGGGGTAATATACACCTGCTGATGACCCTGCTGCAATCAATGTAAAATTACAATAACAGTTGTATTAATTAATGCATTTTAAACTCCATTTGTTTGTATTTATGTWTGTGAGRTTTGAGGAGGCATTAATTAAAAGCACTCTGTCACTGAATCATTTTTAACCATCACTGAAAAATCTGAATGCTGTAAATTTATTGTTATGGATTGGACAATTGTTAGAAATTTAACAAGTAAAATGTGTAATATAAACATTTGGGTGTTGCAGTTGAGTTTTGTAGAGTTCACTTGTTAATTGTAACAAAAGATTATTTTAAGACTGTTATTAGGTTGATGCAGAGCTCCCATTTAGGCAATAAAAAAAGATTTAATCTTGACTGCTKAGCTATAAACCAAWATGATAGTATAATGAAGGCTAAAATCATAAAAAGCAGCAGCAAATAAAAAAAATCCAACTAACTTCTATAAATACTTTTAAACTTGACATATTCAGTCCAAGTATGTCATTTAAATTAAGATGAAAGCTTATTAACAAAAAAACGTGTTTCAGCTCAAGCTGTCAATCTGTTGCTGTGCTTTTATTTTATCTGACAAACTTACAGTAAGTCTTGTTTTTAATCAGACAACAGTTTTATAAAAACCCTGCCAGGTGACCATGATTAGTCWGCACAAATAACGTTAGCTTAAATATACCTCCTCGTTGTACATCTGGAACATGACAGATTATCACAGATTTAGGTAACCGTATTTAGCAAAGGGAACATATACCTGTATACATAAAAACACTGCTGCAGAGCAGTGTTTTTGTTCCGGTGCAGAAGCATCGAGGATGCGCGCTGTCCTTGTTTAGTTTTAAATGTTCCCATGCTTTTTATAATTTCTCGTTTTCTGAGCGCTTTGTTTTGGCACTCTTCGTCTTTTTCTAAAGCTAAATATAGCGCTTAGCAAGCATACACGTCTGACGCGTCGACAGAGTAACTGCTAGCGGAAGCGCTAACATCGTAGCATTGTGTGTAACGCACATAAAATTCCGGGCGGACAAAAGTGCGCCTTTTTTT